CTCTGGGGGACTTTAATGCCTGTTATTTCCAGCCTGCCACACGCTGGGGCCATGTATCCCCCTGTGGCCAGAGAACACCTTGGCAGTGGAGATGGGGCACTGACCATGGCTGCTGCATTTGTCCTCATGTTATAGAGGAGGGGAGCAGCCCACCCTCGTGCTCTTACTTACAGATTCCATCCACAGCAGTAAGAATGACCAACCTGTATTGACAGCTGGCTGTGTGCTAGGCACTGTCGTGAAGGCCTTGTATACTTGTATTCACTCTTAATAGTCTTATGCACCTTAGGCATGTAAATTTTTCATCACCATTCAGTAACTGTAGAAACTGAGAGGAGTCCAGAGAGGTGAAGCAACTTACCTGAGGTTTCCCAGCCAGGAGCAGCAGGGTTTGATCCTGACAGCTCACCCACCCAGCACCCTTCACCCTGCACCTCAGGCCTCTCCGCTCAGAATCCAGCCCTGGGCTTCCTAGGCCAGCGCTTTTCCCCGCCCTGAGCTGTTCACACCTGCCTCTTCCCAGGGCTCCTTTCAGAACTCGCTTCTCCCCTCATCAGCCACGCTCTTCTCCCCCCGGCTCGCCTCGCCTCGCCGTCTGCCTCTGGAACAAAACCCCACGAAGCACTTTCTCTTGTCCTCCCGACAGCCCCCCGCCCCCGCCCGTGCCTTTCTCCCTGCCTGTCTTTGCCTTCCACGCAGGGCCGACAGCGCCAGCCAGGGAAGGGAGAGACACAGGCTGGCATTCTGTCAAGGAATTAATTGAAAAATAAAATCATTAGGTGGGAACTCCAGAAATGCAAAAATGGTGGTTGGAGGTTGGGGGGGAGGGGGGCAGGACTGGGGGGTTGTCGGGGGACGGCTGAGCTTTTTGTCAAGTTAATTTCTCGGGTATTGATGTTTGGTGACATTCACTTGTTGTTTATCTTCGGGTGCAGCTGTAATACTGAAAGAAAATGCACAGCTTGTTTTGTTTATTTATTTTACACCTTTCTCCGGTTCTGCATTATGTTTGTTTGGTGAAAACCCACTGAGGCTTTTGATGTCGGGGAAGTGGGATTTCAGCAGCTGTTCCCTGCAAACAGGGTGCTCCTCAAGGAAGCAGGGCCAGTGGGGGGTGTGGGGTGTAATTTGCTGGGAACTCGGGGCCTGACGTGTCCTCCAGGGGGGCAGCTGGGGGCCCAGCCTGAACCCTGGCAGATATGCCAGGCCCAGGAGCACAGTCGTGGCTCCTGAGTAGAGTGGGCCCCTGGGCTCTCCAGGCCCTATCTGTGAAATTGATCATCTTCATAGCCACCCAGTGAGATGGCCCCTATTTCTATCCCCACTGTGTCAACCGAAAGCCGAGGCCCAGAGAGCTGAAGTGACCGTCCCACGGTCACTTGGCCAGTCAGTTGCTGAGCTAGAACCTTGGATCATGTGACTTCTGTAGCCAGGGAGTCAGCGAGCACCAGTGTACCGTCTGCGTCCCTTGCCCCATAGCCAATGTGCGAACCGAGAAGGTGGGACTCGCACTTCCCTTGGCCTTGATGAACCACATCATCTCATTCCTTGACCTGTCAACTATGTACTGATCATGTATCATAAGCCAGCCTCCCTGCAAGAGCCCCCGCCCTGTGAGAGCTCACTGCCCCAGTGACCAAGAGAGACATGAAATTAACACCTTTGATATCAGTAACAGTAACGCAGGTGTTGGTCTCAGCACCATTGACTGAGCCCTAACCAGGGGCCAGGCGTTTCCTTTTTTACTCATTTCAGCCTCACCACAACCCCTAGTATACCCATTTTACAGGTTAGAAATTGAGACACAACTATCTGGTTCTTTTTCCATCTCCCCCGCCAGACCAGAAGGCCGTAGGTGGGGCCGAGCCAGTCTTGTTCCCAGCGTGCCTGGCCCAGAGCGGGTGCCACAGGAGTCTCTGGCATGTGAGGGGGTGAGAGCATGAATGAAGGCTCTGGACAACTGCTGCTGGTCATGTCTCTGCTGCTGTTTGTCCTTCGGCAGCCAACACTCCTAGACCCTCAATTTCCCCTGTCATTCACTCCCTCAGTCTCTCAGCACACACTTATTGAGCATCTGCTATGTGCCAGGCACAGTTTTGGGCATTGGGAACGGAACAGTGGACAAAACAGACAGACACCCCCGCCCTCCTAGAGCTGACGTTCCAGCCAGGGAGACAGATAGTAAGGTGGAAACATGACACGGTGAGATGGCACTCTGGGGGACTTGGGATTTTAAATAAGGAGGGACGCTTTGCTGGAAAGCTAAGGCCCCTGAGTGGCTCCATGGGAAGAGCATTCCAGACCAAGGGAACAAAAGATGTGAGGCCCTGAGGTGGGAGTGCTAGAGGCCAGGAGCCAGAAAGGGGCTCGTGTGCCTGAAGCAGAGACGTGGTGGGGCCTGCTCGGTGGCCCTGGCAGCTGACAGCTTTAGCTTTCCCCAGGTGAGATGGTGCCCATGGAGGCCTGAGCAAAGGGCGGCATGCTGTGATGGAGGATTTAACAAGCTCCTCCTGGCTGCTGTTGGAGACTAGGCTCCTGGGAGGGAGGCAGAGGAAGCCAGAGGCGATGGTGGCAGGGCCGGGGGATGCAGGAGCTCGGGGAAGAAGCGCCAAGTCCGGGTCAGCCTTAAAGGTTGAGCCGACACAATTGATGGAGCCAGAACTTGCCCCCGAGCCAGCCCTCCGAGTTGTCAGGATGTGGGAGAGAACAAAAAAATCCTAGGAAGAAGGCAGCCACTAGGCCAACCACTGCTGGCCACCCCTTAGACCCCAAGCCAGGCCTGGCCTAGGAAGGCAGGGACCCCCGCCCCAGGAGTGAGCTGCCACCCTCAACCCATGTTAGCAGATGGGAGGGGCACCAGCAATCGCCTGCAGGCCCTGTTTTGTTGCATTTCTATTTTCCAGCTCCTATTACCTGCCCACAAATTCAATTTCCAGAGGCCATTGTGCACCTCCAGGGCTGGCGATTATAAGGAAACTGACAGCGTCTAGGAGGGCATGAGGAAGGAGAGGAAGCTGTGTCTGAGCCCTAGGCCACCACCCCACCACCCCAGCCCACCCTGTCCCCCTCTCCCTTTTCATGATTACCAATGATGGGTACAGCTGCCAGGCCTGAGACTCCCAGGAGGCAGGCAGGCAGGCACCTCCCGCACTTTCCACACCCTCGCCGTGGGGCAGGCTCTGCCATCTCTTTCACCCTTACTCCAGTCACTCACTCCCCTTTATCTGGGATATTTCACAAGCACTTGCTAGGTGCCAGGCAGTGTGCTAAGGCCAGGGACACAGTGAGCGGGACAACATCCCACACAAAGAAAGGCCTGCAGCAGCGTGAGTACTAAAAAGTGTCAGGGGGTGGGGTGGCATCGGAGCTCAGGGAGATCTGGGTGCTGCTAGTGCAAAGGTCTCAAGCAGGGGCAGGTGGGCCTGCGGCAGTGACACCTCCAGAGGACTTGAGGCTTTCTTAGGGAGTGCTGGATCTGATGCACGTGTTTTAGAGGGATCCTTGGTGTGAGGAGGGTCTCTAGTGAGGGGTGAGGGGTTTTTGGATCAGGAATGCAGCCGTGGAGATGATGAGAAACGGGGGCAGTGTTTGAATTGATTTGGGAGGGATGAGGTTGAAGAAACAGGCTCAGAGAGATGAAGTCACTCGCCCAGGACCACGCAGAGGTGAACCAAGGCTTCATCTCTGGGCCAGGCACTGTGCTGGCCCTGGGAGGTAGTAGAAAAGGCAAAGCTGTTGCTGTGAGTTCCAGGGAGCTCCCAGCCTGCAGAGAGATGGAGGTAAAGGACCTCAGGGTGATTTATTGGCAGAGGTGTTTGAGCCATGGAAAGCGAGAGATTTGGACAGCCTCTTTACACTGCCTCTGTACAAATCAAGCCTTACTGCAAGTTAGGCTGCCCACTGATGGGTGGTTAGACTAGCAGAGGGACTGACGGAGGAAGCCAGCCTGGATCCCAGCCTCCCCCAGCCTCGCTTCTTTCCCAGAGGGCCAAGGGGCCCCACGTGTCCTCTTCTGCCACCATTGATCTCCTTGGAGTTCTCTGGCCAGCACCAAAGACTTCCATGAAAAGCAGAAAGACTGGGCTATGGTGTAACTGGGGTTCGAATCCTAGCTCCACCACTTCCTAGCTGGGTGACCGCAGACCTACCTGTCTGTGCCTCAGTTCCCTTGCCAGCAAGAGGTGGTTTACCACCTGCCTGTGGGGTTACTGACAGGAGTGGAGCCGTGCTCGCGATGGCGCCTAATTGGGAGTTGCTTGCGGGGCCGAGCCCACTGCGCCGTTTCCTACCTCCGTGCTTTCTTCATGACCCTGAGTCTCCTCTCCTCACAGAAAATGTCGCATTCTTCAGAGCCCGAGTCAAATCGCCCTCCACTTCAAAGCCACCTCTAATTGTCATTTCTTTCCGTGCCCCCTCTGGAATCCTGGAGCACCTGCTGTATGCCAGCCACACGCTACACCATTAGCCTGACCTCCAAGAAAACAGAAGCGGCTTCCACTCGTTTCCCCAGCGCACAGCCTGGCTCAGCCTCTCTGGAGTGTTTCAGCTTCCTCTAAGCCAAGCTCTGACCTGCTGGGAGGAAGCAGCACAGGAGACCCCCTCCCTCTTTTTCTCGAGGGAATCCTTTCCCCTGCGGGCGGAAGATGGGGAGGGTATGGCCAGGGAAGCAGGAGAGTTTCTGGGGGTTCGAGGGAGGTAGCCCCACCGTGGTGATGCAGAGACTAACCCTGGTGTTTCTTTCTCCTCCTCATCTCCCCCTTTGATTCTCTCCTGTGCTCGTCTTTCCTTATTCTCCCGCCCTGTCTCCCCTCCCTCTGTATCTTCTCTCCCTCCCCTCTCTCCCCATTTCCCTCTCTCGCATCCTCTGGCTTCTCCTGTCTCCCCGCCCTGGTGCTCGGCTCATACCTCCCTCTCCCTCCTTCCTCTGTCATTTCTCCCTTCCTGCCTCACAACCCTCTCGGCTGTTCTTTTCTCCTCTCTTGCCATCTGGGCTCCCACAGAGCCCCCGAAGAAAAAGCGGTCTATGGTGTTGGACGAGATCCTGGAGCAGCTGGAAGGCAGCGACAGCGACAGCAAGGAGCAGACCCTTCAGCTGTGAGCTGGCGCAGAGAGGGTGCGTGGCCCCCAGGCCCTGGGGACAGGCGCTCCAGCTTCTGCACTCCCACCATGTGGGGGGAGCGGGGCGGGGCGGGGAGCAGCAGGCGGCCCCGCCCTGCACTGGTCCAAGGTCGGAGGGGACAGGGAATGAGGAAGGCGTAGGCCACTGCCCGGCGGCCCAGGGCTCCCAGGCTTCACTGGTGACGCGTTCTAGCAGACACTGACTGCGCACCTGCTCTGTAATGGGCACAGAAGAATGCAAGGGAGCAGGGCACGGTGCAGCCATGTTAGGATGAGACGCTTGGGGACAGCTACACAGGGAGCTGCACAGCTACACGGGGAGCGAGGACCCTTGCTCCCCCGTCCCACCCCAGGAGAGTAAGGGGACGAGGGCCAGCTATCTGGCATCAGGCTGCCTGGACGTGAAACTCCATGTCCGAGCTCAAGCTGGGAGACCCCGGCCCAGTTTCCTACCTCCTGGGGCCAGCGTTCCCATTGCTAGCTATTTCTTACCTTACACAGTTTGAGAGAGAAATCAACACAATAATGCATGAAGAGTGCCAGGCATGGTGCTGAGCCCTGCTCCTCCTCCCCGTCCAGGGCTGCTGAGCTAGAATTCCCACCTACATCTTTCTAAGGGACTGTTCACGGCTTGAGACCTGGCCTCTGTCCTGCCCACCCTTGTCACTTGGGACCACAAGCCCTGGTTCTGTCACCCAGGGAAGCCTCCCAGCGGCTCACGAAGCATCAAGCTCCAAGCCCAGATGCCAAGCTCTCCTGCTGAGCCGAATGATGTCACTCCTGGCGGCCGCGTTCTGCTCATGGGCCTGGAGCCCTGTGAAATGCATCGAGGTCCTCTCCACAGGCCAACAGCATCCCCAGGCCTCTCTCAGGCGCCTGTGGGCACATTTCCTCCAGCCTGAGACGCAGCCTCCTGCCTGGAAGGGCCTGTGCCAGCAGCAGCCAGAGGGCAAGCTGGAGAGGGCAGAGCAAGAACTGCGGTGCATCTCACCTTGGTCTGAATCCAGGCGTCACCATTGCCCGAGGTGTAACCTCAGACTAATGATAGCCTGTCTGAGCCTCCGTTTTTCTCTCTAGGAAATGGGGGTGATAATTGTGCCTACCTCAGATAGATGGTGCCAGAATTAAGTGAGTCAAGCCGAGTAAAGCCCAGAGAAGATTCTCATCAGCGCTTTTGTTTGCTTCATTTAGAATCACTGGGTGGGGCTCTAAGTGAGAGTTCGGGTATCGTCAGACTTTGTGCATAAAACATGGTCTGTGCACGTTGGTGGGGATGAGGTTCCGGTTTTCATCCAGTTTTCAGAGTGGCCCAGAGCCCAGGCAAGGCCACATGGAGCTGGCAGCCTGCAAGACCAAGCTGCACCTTGTGTCCTCTAGAGCAGACACCCCCTTAGCCATCCGAGCTCATCCCTGAGAATTCATGGAAACAGAAAACACAGAATGACTTGTCCCCAACCCTTTTAAGTTTTTTAGGGACAGGACGCGGTGGCACAATTATAGCTCACCGCAGCCTCACGTGATCCTTCCATGTTGGCCTCCCAAAGCGCTGGGATTACAGGTGTGAGCCATCACGCCCAGCCACATTCTCCAGCTTTTAGACTGGGGTGGCTCACAGAGTCATATTGACTCTGGATGTGGGGGCTGAGCAGTGAGGTCGTTGTTAAACCACACCCATGCCGACCCTCAGGTGACCAGGCTCCTAAGTTGCCGTGGGTCTTGTAGAATGAAAGGGCTGGAGACCGACCTCGTGCCTTCCCACTGCTCATCCTGTTCAGCGGCACGTGGCTCCTTCTGGCTGAACCTTCTGGTCTCTACAATTTGTACTCACGTTTCCACACCACCGGAGCCAGCGAGGATGGCCAGCTGGTCACCAGAAATAAGGTGTAGACCCACGGGCCTGGTGCAGAGGCAGGCATCTTTTGGCACCAACTTAACTGGCCAGGAGGATGCTTCTAGAACCTCCCCCAGAGCAGGATTCAGCCCCGTCCAGGGCTTCGTGCGGGATGAACAAGCATGGGCTCTGCATTGGGGCCTGCCTGGGCTCCGTAAAGGTTCACCACTCTCCCGAGCTCACACAGTGGAGTGATAGGAATCAGGGCTGTCCGGTCCTTCTTGCATAGCTGCCTTCCCTGTGGCCAAAAGAAAAAGCCGGCGAGCGGGGAAGGTTCGGGAACTGCAGGAGAATGAAAGGTGGCAAGAGGAGGGAGAGCTTCCGCCCTCTTGCCAGGTCTGGTCCAGAATTGGCGATGGGGAGTCAGGCAGGCGGGAGACTGTGTACCGAGCCTGGCCCCGGCGGCCCTGTCTGGAAGGGGCAGGTCTGTAAGCACACGGGAGTACTGGAGGCCACTCCCACGGAGGTCTCTGGGTGCTCCTTCATGCTGCGCCCACCAGACTGCACCCTCATCTCCTCTCTTCCGGCTCAACCAGTGTGGCCTGACTGATCCATGAGCTGGATCGTGTCAATCTGCAGCTTCAAACCCTTGAGGCCTCCCCGACACGTGGCAAGTCAAGTCCCGGCAGCCTCCCACCCCGGGGCCCTGGCTCTGGCTCTTCCCTCTGCCCAGATGCCCTTCCCCTAGTCTTCCTGTGTGGCTCCTTTTTATTTTCCTTTGATCTCTTAGTTTAAATCAAGCTTGTCCAACCCAAACTTGAGCTTTGAATAAGCCCAATACAGAATTTGTAAACTTCCTTAAAACATGTTTTTTTTTTTTTTTTTGCAATTTTTTTTTCTTTTTTTAAGTTCATCAGCTATAACTAGTGTTAGTGTATTTTATGTGTGGCCCAAGACAATTCTCCCAATGTGGCCAAGGGAAGCCAAAAGTTTGGCTGCCCCTGGCTTAACTTCTGCTTCTTCTCCCCTGATCAGTTCACTGCAGTAGCCGCACCCAGCTCCTGTCCGCACCCAGCTCCGGTCCGCACCCAGCTCCTCCCCGCACCCAGCTCCTCCCCGCACCCAGCTCCTGTCCGCACCCAGCTCCTCCCCGCACCCAGCTCCTGTCCGCACCCAGCTCCGGTCCACACCCATCTCCTGTCCGCACCCAGCTCCTCCCCACACCCAGCTCCTGTCTGCACCCAGCTCCTGTCCGCACCCAGCTCCTCTCCATACCCAGCCCCCCCACCCTGTCCCTCAGTCACAGCACTCAGTAGGGACAACCTGGAGTTTGAGCAAGATCTCAGTGACCCTGAGCCTTTTACCCCTCAAAAATAACAGGAACTAGGAAAGCAATTATGATTTTTATTAAAATCATCATCATTGTTCTAGAATGCAGTAAAGTACAGCCAGGTAGTCATAAAGGAGAGCTTGGGAAAGGTCAGGCCCAGAGGAGGAGCTTTCGTCTCTTCCTCCTTTGGAGAAGAGGGACTAGTGAAAGTGTTTTGTGGGAAATTCCTCCATCCGGCATGTGGAGGCTGAACTGGGAGGCTCTAAGCCTTCGAGCCAAGGCAGCAAGGGACTGATAGCGCTGTCACTGGAAGGGGGACCCGGAGCTTTCTGAAAGGCAGCTTCACTTGCGTTTGAAGCAATGATAGGACGTTGGTAGACCCAGACACCCAGAAGATGTGTGAGAGAAATTACAGAAATAGACCACAGAGGTGGTGCTGAGGAAGGAGCAGGGCGGGGTGAGCCTCCTGACCAGGGTCAGGATGGTGCAGGGGCAGGAAACAGGCTCAGCCACATCTTAGAGGGGCTGTGACAACCGCCACAAGAGAGCCAGGAAGAGAACCATGAGAGAGGTTGGACCAGAGCACACACCTGGGAGAAGAGAGGGGACACTAAGAGGCCAGAGGGGCCGGAGGGACACAGGGAGATGGGAGGTCAGCAGGACAAATGCCTCAGAAAAGCCAGAGGCACACATTTGGACAAGGCCAGTGGCCTGGTGTTCAGAGTACAGCTCGGTTAGCCGGGAGGAACCGGGACAGGCTGTTTCCAGAGTTGGGGGATGGCTGGAACCATCTGCTGTCCTCACATTCATCCCCCACCCACTGTGGACCACAGGGGCCTTGGGCTGCGTCTCTGAAGCTCCCTTGTCAAGAGGCTTGTATTCAGTTTGGCCAGCGGTGGGCACCAGCGTGCGCCTGGGAGGCTGGCAGAAGAGAAACTCCAGACATCCTCCCTCTCCCTCCGTCCCTGGTGACGTCTCCACCAAAGGTCACCCCTGGATGGGTGAGGAGGGCCCTGGCTTTTCTATTTTAGGATGCACACAGTCAGACTGCAGGAGGGAGATGGGTGGACCGACAGGAGGAGGGACAGGAGTGAGGGACAGTAGGGATGGGAGGAGGAACAGGAGTGAGGGACAGTGGGGATGGGAGGAGGGACAGGAGTGAGGGACAGTGGGGACGGGAGGAGGGTCAGGAGTGAGGGACAGTGGGGATGGGAGGAGGGACAGGAGTGAGGGGCAGTAGGGACGGGAGGAGGGACAGGAGTGAGGGACAGTGGGGACAGGAGGGGGGACAGGAGTGAGGGGCAGTGGGGACGGGAGGAGGGACAGGAGTGAGGGACAGTGGGGACGGAAGGAGGGACAGGAGTGGGGGCTGTAGGGACGGGAGTAGGGACAGGAGTGAGGGGCAGTGGGGAGGAGGGACAGGAGTGAGGGACGGTAGGGACGGGAGGAGGGACAGGAGTGAGGG